CGTCGTGTATAGAGTGAATAATACCTAAACTGAAAAAGTAGGAAGCACAATTGGACAGATGTTTCGACCTGGATTGGGTCTCATCAGTGCAGTGCGCGAATCCACCGACCCAACTGGGGATCGCGAACCCGGGACTTGACAGGCGGAACTCGATCGATCACCGAGCAGACCGCTTTTGTTTTCCATTTTCGATTCACAAGACAACCGATCTTGGCGAGCCTGTTGCGGGCATCACGCCGCGTTAATCTCATTCCGGACCTGCTGTGGGTTATGACTCGGTTAGAAACATTCACATGCAACAAGTTCACGGTGTCAGATATGTCTTGAATAGAAAAATGCGGAATTGTTGGAAACAGGAAAACACGTCTACGGACCCATAAAATAACTAACAGTTATCCGCATTTTGTCAGTAAAGTGCATTCCCCTTTATATTTGTATTTGTATAACTTTTGCAAGCTGAGATATGCTTACATTTCAGTTAAAAATTGTACACTAGTCGTCACACCGGAGAAACGATAGAAGTATAAACAAATTCAATAGAGTGCTGTGTAAAAAAATAAATGTCTCTAAAGTTTGATTCATTCAATTAAACATTGACGTAATTCATTTATAACTCGTTCCTTGTTGGTCAAGATGCGAGCCAGATACGGTACAATGGAGTTTTTATAAATGTTTTTTCGGGAGGGTAGGTACCGATAAGAGGAACGAGTGATCGAGTGGGAGCGACAAGAAGATAAGTCAAAATGCAAAGGATGGGTAGGGTCGTTTAGAATCTTATTGGCAAAAGTCATACAAGACTTCATATGACCATGAATAATTGATTAATGATTCGGCAGAAATTAAAGATGCACGGCTTATTATCATTAATCCACGACGGACAGTTTTAAAGCCTTGTTTCAATAGACCGGGAAACACTACAGGGGAGTAGTAAAGTAAACTGGGGAGAACGCCTTGTTTAACAAAAGAGAACAAAACTTATTGGAGAGTGGGAAATTGTCTGAGCTTTTGGAGCTGAAAGGAGAAGCACCGAAGTTTTCCCATACAGTTCTGAATGTGTGTCGACCACCGAAGATTATTATTGATAGTAACAGCTAGAAATTTGGCTGAGGTCACTCTAGACAAAAGGTTACTATTAAGAGTTACAGAGTCTGACGGGAATGTAGAGCGGGAAGAACTAAAAATGCACTCCAAGTACTTGGATTAAGGTCAGACTGATTTGAAAACTGTTCGATTCGGGACATATTTTTAGTGAAGGAAGAAAATTCCGAAGAAGAAACGGTCTGACATAAAGCGACATCGTCAGCATACTTTTGGATATGAGCAAGGCGTGGAACTGAAATATTATCAATGAAAGCAGAAAAAAAGATACGGAGAGAGGACAACATTTTGAAACACACCAGAGTCATTGACTAGAGGACGTATTCCTGGCCAGCTTTGTGAGCTGGGTTCTTTCGGTGAAATAATCAGAAAGCCAGGAAAGCAGCTGTCTGGGGATGCCGAAAGATTCAAGCTTAAAAAAGAGGGATGACCGGGATACAGAATCAAAAGCAGACGAATAATCGAAAAAAACGCAATGAACAGATTCCCATTGGTTTTAAAGCAGCTGCAGCAGACGTAAGAAACACATTCACCATTCAGAAAGTTCTTCACAGAGACTGAAAGAAAAACGATAAATCAGACTACCACAGAAGTCAGAAATTCCAATAGATTTACCATTTGAGAAAAAAGTAGCTGAAACTAACTAACTACATTATCGTGGGGTTTTCTACTCGCAATCAGAGAACGGTGGCCCTAGTTTCATTCCATGAATGTAGTTCGATGCCATGTTTCACTGAATTACGCCAGTCCAAGTATACATTTGACTTGGAACGTTCTTCAAGGTGTTGTATCATGAAATGACACTGTGTGTTCAGTTCAGTCTCACTTTTGTTCGTTGGCTGTTTGATGAAAGAATAAAGAGCGATTGAAATGTTCGAATAAGTGTCAGAGTGAAACCGGAAAATTCATGGATTGTTGCAAAAAAATAATGAGTAGATACTCGAGCACCATTGTTTACAACATTCACTATCACTAACGATTGATTACCATGATCTCGATATATTCATCCAGAGAGCCACGTGCCACAAACAACGCAGTCTATATAGGTTGACAACTTGCTCTAATGGGCCACTGCGACTAACCTCAGTATTGCTCGCCCGGTTGCCCCACCAGACTCGTGCATCGACAGTCTATCTCAATACTGTTATCGTAATGGCTATGGTAGGATTGCTGCAGCATACACACAAACAGACGGACGTCATGACGACGCCACAGATGTCTCCAGTTGGCAAATGCCAACCGAGCCTTGTGTGTGCGAGCTGACACTTCATCCACCAACCCAAATAACAAAACTTGTCGACATTTGCGCTATTATTTTCCCATTTAGAGTGAAGTTGGGAGCTGGATCAATCCAGCCTTGTAACAATATTTTACACTTTGAAGGTACGAAACGCGTACCGAACATGGCCACAATAGCACTCAAACTAGCCAGAAAAGCTTCCAACCTACCCGGATCTTCACCTAACAGCACAATCTCATCTGCATACGCCAGGTTAGACAGTCTACAAACGGGAGGAACTCGATACCACTATCCTCGACCTGTCCAATTTCCATGATCAAATGAATAACGAAGTCATAAAGGAGAGCAACCCTAGCGAACAGCGTTTTCTGTGGTGAACTCGAACGAATTGCCGTAAGCTCGGAGTCCGCTATTAACCGCTTTCCTACTTCTGAAAACTGTTTGCACCATCACGTATTCAACAAAAAGGAAGCACCTGTCCTTGTCCGTTACCGACAGCTCTAAAATTCTAGCTTCACATCAAAGCGGTTTCCTCAAGTTGCCAGCGCTTTGCACGTTCCTCCCTTTCGTCGTTTCTGCAGGTCTCTAGCTTGCGAACGCCACGGGGAATCGGAGGTGCCTATCTTCAACTCCGTTTCTCTATTTTCTACATCTAGTACCCTTGTACACAATAGCCATATACCTTGTACGTGTGAAATAGCACCAACCAACGTCATATGACCGATCGCATCCGTACAATCCCATTCGAGTAGTATTCAGCCGGAACAAAATAGGCTTAGTGGTTTGCGAATCCAGACGGAAGCGCACAACCACGTCATAGCCCGGTGAACCTTAAATCGACAGGCAAATACCGTCATTCTTCTCGCCTCATATGATGCTGTTCGTTAACTAAGAAATCACAAGAAGGAAAACAAACACGGTTACTTTTGAACTGGCAATGCGAAAGAGACACAAGCGTGCGTGGCCAACCAACGGGAGCACGCACGTGGGACAGACATCATGGTCGAGGGGGGGGGGCGATTGTGGATCGATCGAGAGAGACATTGTATGTGCAAACAGGAGTGGAAATCGAATGCACTGATATAAACAAGAGTGGACGTCAGAGACGTGGAAGTGCGAAAGGACGGGTCGAAGGACAACGGAATGAGGATCGGACAGAATGCCTGTTTGAGCCGGCATGACGTGGGAATGCCAGACCGGGAAAGTTGCCAGAGCTAAGGTTTTCGGTTATCGAATGTCACTGATTCGTTCACATGACGCGCAGATGACAAAATGCTCCTAGGACTAATTAATGAACAGGACACAGAGTGAAACAGACAATGTGTATGTGTTTGTGTTCAGTCAGGGAAATAAGGGAACAAACGGAGACACTCGAGAACAATGGGTATGAAAATAAAGACCTGATAAGAGTAAAACTCGTCATGATCACGAATATGCCTGAGTGGATGAGGCGAGTTCACGGACTGGCTTTTGTTTTGTTCTGTGCGTCCAATTATGAAAGATGATGGGAATTTTGATAACCTGTGTGCAGGCCAAAGTGCATTTATACACAAGGAACTCCAAAAGACGCAAGTACATTGGATTCCGGTCAAACTGAAATCAGGAACGTTTAAAACAAGCGAATGATCTGATCTTCGTCTTGCGTACGTGATAGACAGGGGGTCGATCGGTTCAACCGTGCACGAGCGCACGAACAAAATGATAAGAGGAACAAGAGAATAGTGGCAGAAGAGATATCAACCGGTTGAGGAACCCGGGGGAAAGAAGAGCAATGAGTGCGAGAGTGGACATACATTTGTTCCAATAGGAAACAACACTGGTCGAACAGATCCAAAAAGCATACCGACCAACATGCGTAGAAACAGACAAACAGAGATAATGTATGAACAGATACACGCACACACGTGAATAGATCTGCGAACGGGGGATAGCATCGAACTGAGACGCGTGAAGAACGAACTGAAGAGAGAGAGGTAGAGAGAGAGACAAGTGAACATGCGAATTCGATTCGCAATTTAACGACAGAGATGCTTGCTTGTGGTGTATACACAAAGAGAAACCGGCTTACGCGCACAAAAAGGGAAGAATATATAATATATATATATATATATATATATATATATAATGTATGTATATATCTATTTACAAAGAGAAATGTAGACAGGATGATACACGTTGTGTGTGTGGGGGAACTGTTTCTGTGCCTGAGCGACAAACAATCACGGAGATAAACAAGAAATGTTTCCACAATAGCGTATGAGGATCATGAAAACAACGCAAAAGATGTGTGACAGGTAAACGGATGGACCGGTGGAGACAGAGAAACACGGTATGCGCGCATTGGTGCGCGGATGATGATGATGATCAAACGAATCTCCGACAAAGTGCACTCGATGATTTGTCGCGCTTGGAGAGTCGCCCACCGGGCGGGCAGGCGCGCGCACAAATTATCTCCGGTCCGAAAGTGTTCAAGTCAAATGATGCTAGCTGTACAATAACAGACTGGAAGGGAATCACGAGGAGGCGGAGGAGGATGAAATGTGGGTTGCAGAGCCAGTGTGTATGGTCAACGCGACTTGTTCGCTGGGAACTGGCGCGCTTCCAACGCCAACATGCACCGTGGGACAGGGGGGATGGGGAGGAGGATGAAATGTAGTATGATTCATAGATTTTTCGTCTCAACCAGAGGCTCCACATGCGATGATAATAAATGCTGTTTCTCACACAGACTTGGACTGTCTGGTCGGGAGTTGGGTTCAGAGGTCGGGTACTGATCTACTTCCCGTTGAGACCAATTGGCTGGTTGATTTGCATCTGCCGTCGCAGGTGTTGGGACCGTTGTTGCAGTCGTTCCAACAACGGGAGTGGCGGCTTTCGTCCCATTCCGGGTCAAATCAGGCAATCGGACACGTGGATAATAGATGATTTCTGGAGGTAGACCTTGTTGTGCTTCCGGTGGGACTATGGATAACGGGGGCCGTACAGAGAGGTTCGGATTCAAATCCAATTGCAGACGTAAAGCAGCCAGAGATTTTTTCACACGTAAAGCCGGCAAACGTGTTGTCGGACTTGGATACCAGCATTCGGACATGATGTCCTGTAGGGTAACCAAAACGTGGTGTTTCGACCAGACAGTGGGTATCATGGGACGAAGTCCTTGCTCGCAAACAATCGTTTTCATCTCCTCAACCGAGGGATCCTGTGAAACGAGGTCCTGAAAAAAAACATTCGGGGTGGAATTGAAGAGGGCATGTGAATGGGAGTAAGTACAAGGTAATTTTCAGCTTCCAGCAAGGGTTATCGAATGGAAATTGATGATCAAAAGGTACGAAGCAACTGATGAACAGGAGTAGAGAATATACACATCTTTCTCTCTACACTGATTGTGCCACAGTGAAACATCATGACTTCCAGATGCTGATTGACGCACGCCTAAAGGATCATTTTATGGGGACAGAAGTGCACAAAGAGCAAGCTATAAGATGATATGAAGTGATGGTAAAAATAAAAAAGGATCAGCTGATTCGGTTTATAAACGTGGGTGTTCACAAGCCTTGTGTTTATATGAATAACCATTCATGTTAAGGCATGCAAGGTATGTGTATGATCTGGGCCGTGCACAATATTTTCACACGGTGCTAATGATGCTGCTGTTGGTCGATCGGTTTCGATTGTTCATACGGAATGGAAGGTAAACCAGAACGCCAAATCACGATAGATCGTGCCAAGGAGTGATGGTGCACTGCCCTGGCCTTTGTTTGACACAAGCCGAATCGTTCCTTTCCGAGCCAAATCACGATAAACGCACACATCCGCAAAAAGGTCAGTTCATCAAGAGCACAAGTCGCGCAAACTGATGATGGACCACAAGTGGTAACGGCAAGAAGAGGGCTCAAGTAAGTGATAACTGTCACTCATTTTTCTGTCTAATCAATATTAACGCGCCACTAAAACTAGTATGCAAATGAGGCAAACAAAGAGAGTTTGGTGGTACCCTGATTCTCATTTAGCAACGAAATCTTGAGCGAGCGATGAGGAGAACAATTAAAGGCACAGTCCTACTGGCCTCCATCGAAATTGCATTGGTCAATTTGTGCCAATTGTCACTAATCTTTTACCTGCAACGGAGATCTGTTGAGAGACAAATTATCTCGAAAAGCACGAAGCCTCAGGGGGCCACGGGGATGGTCTGTATCCATTTTTAAAGATCATTGTTTGTCGTTAGTCATCACATGAACAAGTTTTCAATTATACACAGATCGGTAATCTTATCGATGGATACACTTCGGGAGGAATCATAGAAGAATTGATTTGAATAGTTTACTGAAATAGTTTAAAAGCCTCTCGCTTCTTTTCTCATGCTAACAGTGAACACCTAGGAACTGGGCTAGTTTTAGACCTGGTCAAGGATGCGTAGACCATAGTTCGCTCCTCATTAAATTTTGTTGCATAGACCAACCGTTCACCGAACTATTATTTCTACATATATATTGTACTGAAAGCACCACCTTGAACTAAATCGATTGAACTATGCTCTAGTGCTGGCCGTCTCTCATTGAATAGGACACTCGGGAACTTGAACCCTTCTCCTTGCACAGTGTATACAGACTACCAACGTCGCGTTTGAGTACCATCATCAGCATCATCATCATTGTACAGCGCAATGCAGTGAAGCAAACTTTCTCGATCGCTGACAAACTCATATTACATACAAGGTGAGAATGTGTAAGGAGGACAGGGATTGGACCTATTTTTAGAGACGGGAAAAGAAAGTGAACCTCTATGGTTAACGCAGAGTACACAGTCCAACTGTGCACACATACTACTTCAAGCATTCTGGTCTGATAAGAAGTGACAGCATAATCGCCATTGCTGTTAGTTCGCAGCCATGACCTTCAGTGTCTCCAACCATGCGGTTTCGGAGTATTTTGGACCCCAACCCGGAAGACGAAATACACCTACTCTACCTGATCGCTCTGTGCATTTCTTTATGCCTCGTCTCCACGTCATTTTCTGGCCCCCACATGGCTTTCTCCAGCCTGTACGGGGTTCTCTTTCGTACGACTTTACCACAAAAAGCAGTTTCAGTCAAAGACCGGAATGGCTGTCTTCAGGTAAGAATAATTATCTCGTCTGGAACAAGCAGGTGACGCGACGCCGCTGATTCAGGTGAGGCGCAGGTTTTCTGCATGACTTAAAAATAAGTGTAGTTTTGCACCTTCGAAGTGCAAAGTAGTGGATTGATTGAGCTGCCCATCTCTCTTGCTGGGAGTGCTATAAAAGAAGTAAATGGATGTTCTTATGTGGGCAGCTACATCTCCCCCTCAGAGAACAAATTTGGGATGCAGGGCTCGGTTACTGTCTTCTAGCTTCAGACACTTTAGCGCTGCAGTGAAATCCGGAGGTTCAGTGGATGTGACAGCTGCCCAGGTGCACAGACACGAGTGGTATCGAGTAGATGAACTAAGATCATTGGTGCTACCAAAAGCCTCAGTATGATCGGAAGTGGGCGTCTAGGGTTGCGGCTGATCACCCTTCTCATGCACCTCGCAAAATGGTCCCGTACGACCAAGAGTCTCAAATAGCCTGTGCCGAGGAAGTCCTATTCACCAACGTGAGAGGACGAGTAGCCCAAATCCGGGTTGGTGGACCACTGGTAGTTCACCTTCGGGAGTTGGTCAAGAACCCTGATGTCAAACCAACCATATACACCTACCCGGTTTTGGCAGTGGTCACCGGCTCGATTGGTCATCGAGGTGTATTGGGCACTTTGGACATTTGACCCCGTACAAAACGCGTATGATCCGTTGAACTGAATACCGGCCCCCAAGAGACTGCGGTTTTCACACTACCCCGAGTCAGGCTTTGGCTAGCCGAAGGTTTCGGTTTTGAATTCCTTAAGAGAATTCACCTGCCGTGGGCCAGGAAACCTGGCAGTATCCAGCCCGAATGCAAATTGTGCAATGCTTTGCTTTTTATGAAGATTATTGTACCACGATTTGTTTGGCACACAGTCTGGCCTCAAACGTGTA